CAACACCATCCAGCTCGTATCATGTAACTCTATCATCAATAACTAGCCTCAAAACTTTACATTTATTAGCATTAAACAGCATCTGCCAATATTTTGACCATTTCAAAACCCTATTTAGATCAACTAAACGAATCACTGAAACACATAAAAGACGTAGGATCCCTTGATCGTTTCAAGCGTAGTTTAGACATCTCAGGGTAACGATTGTATTTTTAACGTCACGTTTATCTTACTTTATCTGCAGTGTTACTTTAGCTACTTCCTAAATCGATTTTAATGAATAAAATCTTTCAATTGGGAAAATACACTGTATCCCAGTCACCTCACCTGTAAGATGAGAAGTTCTGGATCACCACAATAAAACACGATCTCACGTCACCTTGTTTCATTACTGCTGATTCTCCCTGCTCGAGCAGATATTCTGGACTGCCTGTTGTAACTATGGATTATTTCTCCACGAGATTCAGGTATTCCGACAGGAAGAAAAGGGTGCTGAAACTTAACATGGTGATCAAGGTTTCTCACATTAAGCTCTCCGAAATGCAAAAGAGAAAATCAAATGTCTCTCTAAGGGAGTATGTGTGTACGATGAATACACTTATTGGTGCACGCATGGAGACTGAGATGCAAGCGCAAACTGAACCCAAGAGATTACTCTCGCCATCACGATCAAGACTTTCAGAATCCACGACTAGTCAATCCGGAATCTCGTCCCCTAAATCCCTTTTCAGGATATCACCATCCATTGCTTCGTCTTCCATAACCTCGTCTTCCAGGATCTCGCCTTCCATAACCTCGTCGTCTATAACATCGCCATGCAGGATCTCCCCACCCATAACTACGTCTTACAGCATCTCGTCTTCCATAACCTCGCCGTCCAAGATGTCGTCTTCTGAAACCCTGCAATCCACGATCCATCAGTCAATATCCTCTCCGCCCAGGATACAACCGTGCACATCGTCGCAGCCCAGGATGCAACAAAATATATCCTCGCCGTTTAGGATATCACCACCCATATCCTCGCCGCCCAGGATGCAACCATCCAAATCAACGCCACCCAGGATGCAACCATCCATATCCTCACCGCATAGGACGCCAACACCCATATCCTCGCCGTCCAGTATGGAATTTTCAATAAGCTCGCCACCCAGGATGCCACCACCCATATCCTCGCCGCCCAGGATGCAACCATACATATCCTCATCGCCCAGGAAGCAAGTATCCATTTTGTCGCCCCCAAGGATGCAATCATCCATAACCTCGCAGCCCAGCATTCATAAATCTAAAACCTCGCTGCTCAGGATCTAGCTATACAATACTTCCAATATTATCCGGTAATTGGTCTCTACTATCACCTCATGTTATCTCAGTATAACATATGCAACTAATTCACTTAAAATTGTAAACTAAAAACAAATAAACGTGAAAATTTACATATATCTCATTTACTTCATATCTCAGAGAACTTCATGGATTCACTTCTATGCAAATACATCAATGTTTCCTTCAGGTAAAACATACATCATAAAACTGCATAAGGCTTTTAGGCTCCTATGTGGCAGCTCCTAGTTATCTTCACACAAACTCATTTATATGGTTAATCTACGCTTGAAAAACAGATGGGCATAAAAGCATGGGCAAGGGAATGAAACATCTTGTCTTGGTGTCTGTCATCCCAAGCTTTACGTTCGTTCTCACAAACGTGGCAGGGGGGACCAGTGCTGAGCGGCTGTCTGCGCCTACCAGACTGGTGGACTGGATATGAGCAGTCCTCTTTGACTCCTTCTGGAAACTCCTTCACGATACAACAGACTTTCTAAACGAGATAGTCAGCATCAGTGGTTCAGTTCCCAGAGGAGACTGAATTTTTTGAATGGATGTGGTATCGCTCTACCCGAGCACACAACAGAGAGAAGCAGCCAAAGTGGTAGCAAACATCTATGATGAAAACAGACATAAAAATTACAAAACAACTACGAGACGCAGGAGTATGGAGGATGTCTCACAAAAAGTTACTGTAAGAATAATCCATGTAATGAGGGACACACACTCCTTCAATTTGATGGTAAGGCATATAGACAGACGAAGGGCACTGAGGTAGGAGCGTCCAGTAGCGTAGCAATTGCAGACATCTTCATGCATGTAGTATTTGAAAGGGACAGATTCAACTGAAATGACGCCCCGTACCTCCAGTGTACTACAGATATACAGACGATATCTTTGGAATTAAGGTAGGCGGACTACCATGTCAAGAGGGTTTCTTTGCTTGGGCAAACACAGTCCACTGAAACATAAATTTTCCGCAAAACACGACGTTACCACAATAAATTTCCTGGATATCCTAGACACGAAACTCTTTACAACAGCTAGACGACCTGAGGGAGATGTTCAGGCACAGAGGAAACGCTGAAACACTAAAATGAAACTACGCGGAAGACTAGAGAACAAATTTTCACGCCCCCGGCCAACCTGTTGGAGGATAGGAGATGGAACCTCCTGACTGTGATGTTTCTTGGTTTCGCGGGGAAACTCTAACAGAAACTCAAAAACGGTTGGACCTGGTTTGCAAAAGCTTTGCTAAAGTCAAGGTATACAACATCACTATCCTTACCACTATCAACTGCCTCAACTATGCTGGATAAAAGGAATAACAAATTTTTAAACATGAACTGCCAATATATCCATCTATAGAATGGATCTAAATTCACTTGAACATGTCTAGCGTAGGATGACAAAACTAATCCCTCAAAATATGTCATATGAAAAGAGATTAACAAAGCTTGAATTGCTTTCTCTGGAATGACGAAAAATTAGGTGTGACATGATATAGGTTTTCAAGTGTATGAATGGACAAAACAAAGGGGATATTAATATGGTATTAAAAACATCAACTCGAGTCAGACCACGGAAAAATGAGTCTAAATTGTTAAAATTTAGGTTTATTTAGGTTAGATTTTAGATTTAGGAAAGACCTGGGTAAACACTGATTCGGAAACTAGGTTGTTGATTGTGAAACCAATTCCCGCTTAACTTGGTGGAGGTGAGGATCCCTTGATTGCTTTAAGTGAGTGATGGACATGTATGTGAGTGGGATTGGGTGGTTATAAACAGGAGTTGCCTCGTATAGGGTAATAGGCCTTCTACAGTTACCTCTATTATGTTCTTATGTATATATGAATGAGATTGGTTGGCTATAAATAGGTTCTAAATCGTACTGGCCAATAAGCCTTCTGCAGTTAACTTTATTCATATTCTTATGTTATTACCTCTCCCGATTTTCGGAAGAAACAAATTAAAAATCATTGATATGAAGAGAGATTGATAAAAAATTATTAACATTTTCTAAAAAAAATCGTAATTGGGGAGTGGCATGATTTATATGTTCAAGTGGATGAATGGGCATAGCATATGGGATATTAATAGAGAGTTGAAAGTATGTACATAAAATAGAATATGAAACAATGGGTGTACGTCGGATAAAGTTAGATTTAAGAAAGATGTGGGTAAATACTGGTCCGGTAACAGGAATTGTCAATTTGTGGAGCCTAATTTAATAGACGTAGCATCTTTTGAGTTTTTCAAGCGTAGGTTAGAAATTTATATATAAGTTGGAGGATATTAATTGGTGCTGCAACGTATTAGGCAATAGGCCTTTTGCAGCTTAATTGATTCTTATCTTTTTTATGTTCTTATGTAATAAGGCAATAATAAATCAATACATAATTAAACTCGAAACAATGGACACAAATTGGGCAAGTTTAGATTTCGTAAAGTCCCAAATAATTTTGTTTGAGAGAGAGCTGAGGATTTGGGGAACCAATTACAGGGTAACATAGTAGATTAAAGATCCTTGGATAGTTTAAATCATAGGTTAGACATATATATGACTCAATTTGAATTAGTTAAGATTTAGGAAACACCTGAGTAAATACCGCTTCGGTAACAGGGTTGTTGATTTGTGTAGCATATGAACATAAGGTAACTGCAGAAGGCCTATTGGCCCATACGAGGCAGCTCCTATTTATAACCACCCAATCCCACTCATGTACATTTCCATCCAACGCTTGAAACAATCGAGGAACTCCACCTCCACTACGTTTCGTAGTAATTGGTTCCACAAATCAACTACCTTGTTACCGAACCAGTATTTACCAAAGTCTTTCCCAAATCTAAACTTGTTCAATTTCTTCCCATTGTTTCGCATTCTGTACTGTGTTGATACTTTTAATACTCCATTAATATCCGCTTTGTTATTTCCATTCATCCACTTGAAAACCTCTATCATGTCACCCCTAACACTTTGCCTTTCCAGTGATTGCAATTTAAGCTTTGTTAATCTTTCCTCATATGAAAGATTTCTAATTTGCGGAATTAAGTTTGTCATTCTACGCTGGACTCGTTCAAGTGAATTTATATCCATTCAATAGTACTGCGACCAAAACTGAACTGCATATCTAAATGGGGCCTAACTAGAACTGAAGAACAAAACCAGGTGTCTTGTTACTAACGCTTTGATTAATAAATCCCAGTGTCCTATTTGCCTTATTATGAAGATTTATGCATTGATCCTTTGGTTTTAAATTCTTACTAATCATAACTCCCAGATCCCTTTCGCATTCCGACTTCGCAATCTCAACACCTTCCAGCTCGTATCATGTAACTCTATCATCATTAACTAGCCTCAAAACTTTACATTTATTAGCATTAAACAGCATCTGCCAATCTTTTGACCATTTCAAAACCCTACTTAGATCAACGCACCGAATCACTGAAACACATAAAAGACGTAGGATCCCTTGATTGTTTCAAGCGTAGTTTAGACATCTCAGGGTAACGATTGTATTTTTAACGTCACGTTTATCTTACTTTATCTGCATTGTTACTTTAGCTACTTCCTAAATCGATTTTTTTGAATAAAATCTTTCAATTGGGAAAATACACTGTGTATCCCAGTCACCTCACCTGTAAGATGAGAAGTTCTGGATCACCAGAATAAAACACGATTTCACGTCACCTTGTTTCATTACTGCTGATTCTCCCTGCTTGAGCAGATATTCTGGACTGCCTGTTGTAACAATGGATTATTTCTCCACGAGATTCAGGTATTCCGACAGGAAGAAAAGGGTGCTGAAACTTAACATGGTGATCAAGGTTTCTTACATTAAGCTCTCCGAAATGCAAAAGAGAAAATCAAATGTCTCTCTAAGGAAGTATGTGTGTACGATGAATACACTTATTGGTGCACGCATGGAGACTGAGATGCAAGCGCAAACTGTACCCAAGAGATTACTCTCGCTATCACGATCAAGACTCTCAGAATCCACGACTAGTCAATCCGGAATCTCGTCCCCTAAATCCCTTTTCAGGATATCACCATCCATTGCTTCGCCTTCCATAACCTCGTCTTCCAGGATCTCGCCTTCCATAACCTCGTCGTCTATAACAACGCCATGCAGGATCTCCCCACCCATAACTACGTCTTACAGCATCTCGTCTTCCATAACCTCGCCGTCCAAGATGTCGTCTTCTGTAACCCTGCAATCCACGATCCATCAGTCAATATCCTCTCCGCCCAGGATACAACCGTGCACATCGTCGCAGCCCAGGATGCAACAAAATATATCCTCGCCGTTTAGGATATCATCACCCATATCCTCGCCGCCCAGGATGCAACCATCCAAATCAACGCCACCCAGGATGCAACCATCCATATCCTCACCGCATAGGACGCCAACACCCATATCCTCGCCGTCCAGTATGGAAATTTCAATAAGCTCGCCACCCAGGATGCCATCACCCATATCCTCGCCGCCCAGGATGCAGCCATACATATCCTCATCGCCCAGGAAGCAAGTATCCATTTTGTCGCCCCCAAGGATGCAAACATCCATAACCTCGCAGCCCAGCATTCATAAATCTAAAACCTCGCTGCTCAGGATCTAGCTATACAATACTTCCAATATTATCCGGTAATTGGTCTCTACTATCATCTCATGTTATCTCAGTATAACATATGCAACTAATCCACTTAAAATTGTAAATTAAAAACAAATAAACGTGAAAATTTACATATATCTCATTTACTTCATATCTCAGAGGACTTCATGGATTCACCTCTATGCAAATACATCAATGTTTCCTTCAGGTAAAACATACATCATAAAACTGCATAAGGCTTTTAGGCTCCTACGTGGCAGCTCCTAGTTATCTTCACACAAACTCATTTATATGTTTAATCTACGCTTGAATAAAAGATGGGCATAAAAGCATGGGCAAGGGAATGAAACATAGTCTTGGTGTCTGTCATC